TGATTTGGGACACAAGGCTGCTAGAATTTCCAGCCTATTACTTTACCTACAGATTTTTGGACTTGTCAGTCCCACAACTGTGTGAGCCAATTTTTCAGAATAAATAACAGAGCCCCAAAACATATGAAGCAAACAAAAAATAACAAGTGTTGGTGAGGATGTGGAGTAACTGGAACCATTATACAAGGCTGGTGGGAATGTAAACTGGTGCAGCTATAGTGCAAAAGGAGCCCTGGTGGTGCAGTGGTTACGAGCTACGCTGCTAACCAAAGGGTTGGCAGTTCGAATCCACCAACAGCTCCCTAGAAACCGCATAGGGAAGTTCTACTCTGTCCTGTAAGGTTACTATGAGTCTGAATCAACTCAACGGCAATGGGTTTGGTTTGGTTTTGGTTTACAGGGCAAAACTGTTTGGCAGTTCCTCAAAAAGTTAAACATAGAATTACTATATGCCCTAGAAATTCCACTCCTAGGTATATACCAAAAAAACTTGAAAGCAGGGACCCAAATAGATATTTGAACACCAGTGTTAACTGCAGCGTTCTTCATAATGAATATTGGTGGAATGCTGTAATGGAAACAACCCAAATGTCCATCAACAGATGAATGGATAAACAAAATATGGTATATAAATACAATGGAATATTCTTCAGCCGTAAAGAGAAATGAAGTTTTGATACATGCTATGACATGAATGAACTTTGAAAACATGCTAAGTGAAATAAGGCAGACACAAAAGGACACATATTATATGATCTCATTTACATGAAATATCTAGAATATGCAAAGGCATAGATACCGAAGTAGATTAGATTTTGTTTTCATCTATTTAAAAATGTCAAAACCATTCTTAGCTCGCAAAGTGTATAAAAACAAATGGTGGGGTACATTTGACCTGCAGGCCATAGTCTGCCAAACCCTGATCTATAAGGCAAGGACTCCAAGATATGTGTGCCATTGCCAACCACTCTTTAGAAGCATCAGGCTTATATATCCAATCCACTGACTGGATCACATGACAATTCAAACCCAACATATTCCATATTAAACGAACCATCTTCTCCCCTACTCTGAATTTTCTCTTCCTCTTATAACCCCAGTTTAGTTCATCAACTACTGACCACTAAGTGCCAGAAGCTAAACACTTGAAAACTGAGAATCATTCTGCCTTCTCTCTCCTCCACTGACATGCACTCAAACATACAAAGTCCAAAATATTTTACTTCCAAAGAGGTACCTGAAACCATCCCCTCTTTTTACTTGGCCATTATAACCTTTATTCAAGCCTTTATCACTTGTCACCTGAATACTGTAAAAGTCTTCTAACTAGTCTCCTTGCCTCTAGTTTTGCCCCCTGAAATCCATCCTCCACACTGCTGCCAGGATGTTCTATGAAAAATGTAAAACTGATTATCTTACACTCCTTAAAAGCTTCCTTGAAATTAGAATAAAATCTGACCTCCTCAGATTTTGATTCTGGAAGCCTCAATTTATATCTCTCTCTTCCCTTCTTTACTACACTCTAATCACACGAGCCTTCTTCTCATCCCTCAAACTCTAGTCCTTCCTGCCTCAAATCCTTCTACCCTCTCAAAACAGTTTTCAGATTTTGCTCTCTGAGGGACCCCTCAGTGATCTGAGAGAAGATGGAAGAAAAAAGCTAGAGAATCAATGAGGGCAGTCCCATTTCTCTATGCTGTCTATGTTTTGCTGTCTAGGCTTTCAGATATACCGTCATTTAAAAAAAAAGGCAAGATGAGTCCAATGACCAAAAAAAAATTTGAAAAGGACATAAAAGGCTATGTAATCTAACTTTGTTAGCAAAACATATATATGCTATGACCTTTCACCTCTCCTCCCTTATTTCAAAGTCTTTTTTTCTATCCTCCATCAACACAAATATAATAAGCTGCTTCAAACCTCTATGCTTTTGCTCATCAAGCCCTCTACCTCTTCTCCCTTCTTGGTTGAGCTAATTTACATTTGTTTTAGAAAAGTCTGCATAAACTTCATGCCTTTGAGGGATACTCTATTCCCCAGGATGGGTTACATAACCAAAATCAGTTGTCCTTTGGTACCCTATACACACAAATAATTTACTGTACTGTACTCAAACGTTCATGTTTTTGTCTCTCCAGTGAAACTGAATCTACTAGACGGCAAGAAAGTCTCTCGAACTGCATTCCAATTCCTACTCTACTTGGGGTTTGTAAATCACTTCTAACTTAACAAATATTCAAGTCAGTGCTTTTTATTTGTTCCCTCAAATCTATTTCTTCCTCTGTCTTCTCCATCTCAGAAATTGCCAACATCTACAACTGATCACAAAATCTGTGAGACGTCTTAATTCCTGCCTTTCCAGCAATCCCTATACATCCAATCCTTGAGCAAGTCCTGTTGTTTTTTCTCAAACATATATTCAAAATCTAACAAATTCTGGCCCGTTACATTGCTACCATCATAGTCAAAACTACGTCAAGTCTCACCCAGAATACTACTTTTCACCTAGAATAGTGTAACCACAGCCTTTCTGGTGTCCATGCTTCTATTCTTGATCCCTTACAATTGATTCTCCAAGTGGCATATCATACCACTTTCCTTATTAAAACCCTCAAATAGGATGGAGTACTGAACCAGCCCTCCCACTACAACTACAAAAAAACAGCTGCTGTTGAGTCAATTCTGACTCGTGGCAACCCCATATATGTCAGAGTACAATTGATTAACCTGTACGAAATAAATGAGGCAACTGTTTTCAAGAAGTCAAAAACAGGCAATGTAAAATTCTGATCGTTGAGAGCTAAACTTATGAAGTAAGCCCCAAAATCATCTAGCTCTTTTCCTAGGGACCAACTTCCTGACTGTGGCACGGAAAACTGGAGTTTGAGTGGAGCACCACAGTCCCACTGGGCTAAAGAAGAAGAGATCCATCCTCAGGACTACTGAAGCAAATGGAACCTGCAGGGTGAGACATCAGAGAGTGAAGATAATGCAGAGAGGGAAGGTCCTAGATGTTCCTATGGAGATTCCCCCATGAGTCCCTGGCTGAAAGGGCTGTGCTCTACGCTCCTAGGGTGAGAACATCTTAGGCTTAGCAGACAGAAATTGTTACCAGATGGAGAATGGAACAGAGATCCTAGAGGTCAATCAGTGCTGAATGAAGAGTGAAGAAAGAAGTGGAAAGTGTGAACTCATGAGGCATGAGAGGCATGAGTGAGAATGGGGAAGGGTGAAGTAGGAAGTATAAAATGTCAAGGATGAAGTATAAAGTATGAGGAGATACAATACTGGCTCTAGACAGATTCTGGTAAGTTAAGAATGTATATTGCTAGCCCTAGAGAAACCTCTATGAAAAATAAAATAATAAAAAGAAGCATTGAGGAAATAAAATAGAACACTAAAAAATATTTGCTTAACCTAAAAGAAGGCAGAAAAGAAACAACAGGGGAACAAAAAAACAGAAGGGAAAAATGAAAAACTACTAAGAGATTCAATAACATGGATAAATCTCCCCAGACATTATGTTAAGCAAACGGAGCCAGAAACAATAATACAATCTAATTTCACAGATACAAAATTCTAGGGGGGAAAAGAAAATATTTGGGACAAGGAGGATGGGAGTGGAGATCAATCACAAAAAGATCCATGGGGACTTTCTGGGGAGATAGAAACATTCTACATAAATTATACCTTAATAAACTTAATCAACTTATTGATTTTATTCAAAAAGAAAAGGCCTCAAATGGCTTTCCATTGAAATTACTAGGAAATCCAAACTCCTCATATGGTTTACACTTTTGTGATCCGCATCTTATATACCTCTTCCCTTTTTTTTCTACACTCCAGTAGCACTTACTCTCTTTCTGTTCCTCAAAAAACACCCAAGCCCTCTTTTGCCACAGTGCCTTTACAGCAGCTGTTCTCTATTTTGGACTCTCTTCCCTCAAATCTTTGAATAGCGTCTTGTTGTCATTCAGGACATTTCAGAGAGGCCATGCCTCACCACCCTATTTAATGTATAGTCTTGGCCACAGTCACCTCTAGCCCATTATCCTGTGGTAACTTCTTTGTAATACTTACAATCTGAAAATATTATTTACTTGACTGTTGCTTTATTGTCTGACACCCCTCACTAGAATTAAGACAATAAGAAAAGAGATCCTAAAAAAAAAAAAAAATAGAAAAGAGATCCTTTATTTTTCTGGTTTACTACTCTATCTCCAGAACCTAGAGAACAGTGCCTGACACACAGCACATGCCCAATAAATATTTATCAAATAAATAATGCCTTATTAGTTTCTATATCCCAGGGCTTAGTGTAGTGTCTGGCACACAGCAGGGAACTCAACACGTTTGATGAATGGAAGCGCTGGAAAATAAACCTTGAAACAAAAACTGAGGTCAGAAAATGAAGAGCCTTGAAGAGCAGAGAATAATATACTGAATTGTAGTAGATTTAATCTTATTTTCCTATTCACTTGTTTATCCCTTCATTCTCATTTATTTTCAATTGGTAGTGATTCTAATATTTTTATTTTTCTGCAAGCTCTTTCCTAGCCTCTTTGTCAAGACGTTCATGATGTTCATATAAAATTAGATATAACCTAGGTTCTAAATGTGGCTCTACTTAAAATAGCATAGGACCACTTTAGAAAACAGGTAAAATTTTAAACAGCAACAGAATACTACAAATAAAATACATTAGGGAAATCATGAAAAGAGAAAATCCTGAGCACCTTCTACAGAATTTCACAGAGAAGAATTTAAATTTGTTTGGATTAATTTTAACTTGTTTATTAAAAAGCATGAAGAATTCCAATGGGAAAGTACTAAATTACTCAGGAAAACAAATCACATAGCAAATCAACAGCTTTTACTCTGTGAAACACAGTCATTTTCAATGTTACATCCATATTTAAGTATTTTTTAAAAAAAATAATGCTAAATTTTGTCAAGGAAAAACTAATAAGGGTACAAAAAGATACATAAATGATTCTTACTAAGTTATTGTCATCCTGGAAAGCATAGTGCAAAGTTGTAATCCATTTATTGTCTCCATTCACTAATACATCCCTTTCTTCTCGAAAACATGCTGTCTGAAAAGGAAAAAAAAAAATTTAGATAGAAAACACTTTACGTACAACTATGAAATATATTGTGCAAACAACTGTTTTAAGTGTTTATTATACAATTTATGTCTGGAAAAGGAATACATCCCATATTACATGACTTTTCAGCAGCTCAATCAAGTTTCACAGCACCCTCAGAAACTGGAAAACTAGACCAATACATTTTTTTTTTAATTTTATTATGTTTTTGGTGAAAGTTTACACAGAAAATTAGGTTCCCATTTAACAATTTCTGCATTGTGTCAACATTCTCATTATTTCCATTCTGGTAGAAAAAATATATATTTTTAAATATTTTATATTAAAAATAGAGTGATAGTTGAAACGATATTAGAAAAATACACAAAGTAACTTAACAAAACACAGACCAACCCATAATCCAGAAAAAATAAATGTTAACATTTTGCCATATTTACTTTGGATTCTTTATATTTTAAAGGAAATAAGATTAAAATTTCTGTCTTCCTTCTTCTATCTCATTCTCCTTCCTTCTTCCAGATGTAATAATCTGAAGTTAGTGTATACCCTTCTAATCATATGCTTTGATCATACATGTATGTCTTAGTCATCTAGTGCTGCTACAACAGAAATACCACACGTGGATGGTTTTAATGAAGAGAAGTTTATTTCCTCAGAGTCAAAGTAGGCTAAAGGTCCAAATTCAGGGCGTCAGCTCCAGGAGAAGCCTTTTTCTCTGTTGGCCTTCTCATCAATGTTCCCCTGGACTAGGAGCTTCTCCACGCAGGGACCCCGGTCCAAAGGACGCGCTCTGCTCCTGGCACTGCTTCTTGATGGTTTGAGGTCCCCGTCTCTCTGCTCACTTCTGCCTTTTATATCTCAAGAGACTGCCTCAGGACACAATCCAGTCTTGTAGATCCAATCCTGCCTTACTAACACAACTGCCACCCATCCTCCCTCGTTAACATCATAGAGGCAGGTTTACAACATACAGGAAAATCACACAGTACCAGGAATCATGGCTTAGCCAAATTGATACACACATTTCTGGGGGGACATAATTCAAACCATGACAACGTATGTGTCCATAAAACAATATCGCTTTGTGTTTTGAAAATTTATATGAATGGTATGACTTTATTTATCCTTTTCCAACTTCATTATTTTTTACTCAAAATTATGTTTTCAGGATTCATCCATGTATAATGATTGTTTTCCTTTTAACTGCTATGGTATTCCATTATTTGAATACAACAGGATTTATTTATGCAACATTCTAATAATGGAAATGCAGGTCATTTCCAATTTTGTATTATTACGATGTTGTGTATATATCTATCTGTACAAATGCACAAGAGTTTTTCTAGGATATATACTTAGAAATAGAAATGCTGGACGTAAGCATTTTCAACTTTACCAGAGATAGCCAATTATCACTACTCTGCACCCAGTTTATGAAACAGCCCTTCTCCCGACACCCTCAGATGCACTTGGCATTATTAGACTTTTAAATATTTGCCCATATGATGGGAGTGCAATGATATCTTGTTGTTTTTTCAATCATATTCCTAATTACAGGTACAGATAAATATCTTTACATATGCTTCTGGACATCTGAACTCTCTCTTTGAATTGTTCACTTTCTTAGCCCTTTTTCTCTAATAGATTACCTTCTTCTTACTGATTTTTAAGAGTTTTAATTTATTTTAAGAATATATTTTCACTACTATAATAGCACCTCCTGGACAACCTTAGAAATGTGTGGCTAAAAATAAAAATAATTTTACATAATACACTATCTTTAAGTTTTAATCTAAAAAAAAAAAAAAAAACCTATGCTATAAACTTCAAAAAGAACTGAAAGGTAAAGTGGAAAGTAAAAGTCTCCCTGAGTCATGCCCCAATACTCTCATTGTTATTACCCACAGGTTACCACCATTAACTGTTTGTTGAGTGTCTTCCAAAAATTTTCTGTGTAAACATAAGTATGCACATGTATGCACACACGCACACACATTATATATTCATGTAGTATTCAACCATCCCTATCTTTTTCTTTTTTTAACAAATGAGACCATACCAAAAAAAAAAATTTCTCTAAACCAAACCCGTTGGCAGTGAGTCGATTCTGACTCACAGCAACCCAATAGGACAGAGCAGAACTGTCCCATGGGGTTTCCAAGGAGCGGCTGGTGGATTCAAACTGCCGACCTTTTGGTTAGCAGCCACAACTCTTAATCACTGCACCACCAGCGCTCCAATGAGACCACAGTGGTCAAGTAACAACTTATCTGGACACCTTTCCATATGAGTACATAGAGACCTACCTAATTTTTCTTAATGGCTACATCATATTCCTTACACACTAAAAATATGATCACATAATATTCTATACATAGTAGGTGCTTAATAATTATTATTTCCCAGGCACTTTGCCAAAGAAGATATTCAGGTGGCTAACAGACACATGAAGAAATGCTCACAATCATTAGCCATTAGAGAAATGCAGATCAAAACTATGCTGAGGTATCATCTCACCACAACAAGGCTAGCATTAATCCAAAAAACACAAAATAATAAATGCTGGAGAGGTTGTAGTGAGACTGAAACACTTATACACTGTTGGTGGGAATGTAAAATGGTACAACCACTTTGGAAATCGATTTGGTGCTTCCTTAAAAAGCTAGAAACAGAAGTACCACACGATCCAGCTATCCCGCTTCTTGGAATATATCCTAGAGAAATAAGAGCCGTCACACGAATAGATACATGTACATCCGCGTTCACTGCAGCACTGTTCACAATAGCAAAAAGATGGAAACAACCTAGGTGCCCATCACTGGACAAATGGATGAACAAATTATGGTATATCCACGCAACGGAATACCACACAATGGTAAAGAACAACGACGAAGCCATGAAACATAACATGGAGGAAGCTGGAGGTCATTATGCTGAGTGAATTTAGTCAGTCACAGAAGGACAAATATTGTATAAGACCACTATTATAAGAACTCAAGAAAAGGTTTAAACATAGAAG